GAGAGGGTGGGCAGAAGGACTTGGTCACCAGGACCCTTCTCCCTTGATCCTTGACTGATTATCCAGGGAATGCTGTGACAGAAGGGCAGCTTCCTGCTGGAGCCAAACTGTTTGCCCCTCATCCCTTTCTCTGTCTCAGCCTCTGACCCTCCTGAATCCAGCAGTGACATTTTGGGGTTATTGCAGCTCAATTAAAGCCGTCTGAAGAGTGGCAGGGAGTTGAAAAAATTCAGTTTAATCACTGATGTTCACGACTTGATGAGATTTAATTCCTCACATGCCCCCCGGTGCAGTTGTGGAGCAGCTCCCCCCAGCTCTGCTGGGAACCCTGAGCAGGGTCAGGTGCTCTTTAAGTGGATGAAAGTACCAAAAGATGCTTAAAGAGATAATTACACTGATGCTTCTCTGCTGCTCCTGTGTGGGATTTGGTGCTTAAACTCAGCCTTTGTTGTTCAAACACAGCCTTGGAAGCTTCAGGAATGAGGGAGAAGCTTGCAGAAATGGGCCTGTTTCAGCAAGTCTGAATTGCAGCCTGTTCCAGTGTCTGTGGTGGAAATACTCCAGGGGGGATTTTTATTTTTTATTTTTTCATTTAGGAATGTTTAAAACACGTTTTCTGAGCGAGGGAGGGCTTTAGCTATGAAAAAAAAAAAAGCTCTGAAATTGTCTTTACAGGTTGGAAACAAAACTGCAGTGAGCAATTCATGAGACCTGAGGGAAAAGAGCTGGGGTTTGGCTTCCTGTAAAAATAATCTGCTTCTAAAACGAGCTGCTTGTGTGGACTTGTTGAAGGAGGAAAACTGCTCTTAGAATGCTGCAGAAAAACCTCATGTAGTGGAAGGAAATGTGTGCCAGCCCTGCTTTTGAAGTATCTGCAATCACCCATGTTTAAACAGGAAATAATACATCCATTGTGTGGCAAAATTCATGAAAAAAATATATATAAACTCCCAGGAGTTCACCTCAAACATCTCACTGCTTGCTGATCTGTGCTGAGGGGATGTAGGCTGTAAATAATAGATGAAGTTTTGGGTTGCTTACTCGTTATTAGCACAGTTGAATAAAAATTTATCCAGAGCTTTGATGGTGGGATTTTTCAGGGTCCCCCCCCTTGAGCCACAAGGCGGGCTCCAGGTTCTCTAAACCGACATGAAAGGCCTGAATTTTAGTGGCTTTTTGTTGCTTCGTGATGTTGTTCTTGCACCCTCCTTCACTTGTGACAACAGCTGATGGTGAAGGCTGCAGAAATAAACACTTGGAAGACTCTACCCAGAGCTGTTAATCATTAATTTTGGACCTTGCCTGTACTAATGCACAGTGATTTTTGTCTCCCACGTAGAAACCGACCTTCCATGAAGGAGGAAGACCCGGCTGTTCTCATTGCAGAAGTCCTGAGAAGGAAGTTTGCCCTGAAGGATGAAGACCTGGCCCTGAAGGAGAAATGATGTTACTGTCATTCAGCTCTGTAAGCAAAAAAGTGTTACGCTCCCAAAATTTTTTCTCCACAGTAGCTGCCTTCCTGAGGATTGAGCCTTTTGCCTCTTTTATTAATTAGACCTGGTTTCTGGACACCGGACACTTAGGAAAGACCCTACGGATTTGATGTGTTTTCCATGTATTGTTATATTTAAGGGAAAAAAACAAACAAACAAACAACCTTTTTAAGAAGATGGAAATTCTTTTCCACCTGTGTTCTGATGTTGATTATTGATAAGGATCTCCTGGAGTGCTGCTGGATGACGTTCTTTCTTACCTACACTTCTCCTGAGGTTCCAATTAAGCATTAACCTCCAATGGCCTCGTTGGGATAGAACTGGTTTCCATTTCCAGTCCAAACAGGACAAAGCCTCCAGTCCTTTGTTCTGAGTGTGGTACAGAGCTGAGAATAAGCTCATTAATGATTCCAGGTCTTCAGGCTGTTGGATCAGAGTGGTAAAAGACGTTTTCCCAGTGATAGGACCCCTCGGTGGGGTCTGAGTGGATTTAGTGTGCCCTGGGTATTTAACTCACAGATTAGCCCACAGTTGCATGACAGAATGGCCTTAATTTCTTGCCAGTAATTCAGTGTTTCATTACTAGTCCTTGTATTCCAAACCTGTATTTTATTTAGCATTCAGAAGGTCTATTTATTGGTGCACCAATGCAAAGGGCCGAGCACCCCTCCAGGAGCAGGGGAGGGGTTTGGCCTTGGCTGTGGCTGCAGCTCTCACCCACTGAAGAGTTCTCCTTCAGCTCCACCTTCGCTGCAATGTTCCTCATGGCTGTATTTAAAGTATGATTTTTTTTTCCTTTATATAAAATGGAGCCTTAATAAGACAATGATTGTCCCTGAGGTGATTTAATGCGCTCGTGTTTGGTGGGGGGGGGGTGGAATTTTGGCTGCTGCAGCTGAACATACTCAGGGGGCAAGGATTTTTTTCTTAATCTACCTTAATTTTTGTAATCAAGGGCCCTCGGCCCTTAAAAAAATTAAATCATCATCCCCACCTTAAAAAATGAGAGGAGGCTTTTATGGCAGAGAACAGAAAGAGCATTGAAGGTTTAATCAGTTTTATAGGGAGTTGAAACAGCTCCTCCCCTCCTGGATGCACCCCAAGAGCCCCTGAACACTGGGATCCCTCTCCCTGTCCCATGAGGCTCCTCTGCCCAAGGATTTGGTGGGGATACACCTGCCTGTGGAGAAGATGGAGCTGTAACCAGGAGTCCCAGTTCCTGGGAATGTGCTCCGTGTGCAGGCTGGACAGGAGCACGGGGCAGTAGTGTGGGCTGTAATCCTGAGTGAAACAGTCAAACCCCTTATAAATAAACTCCTTCAACGTTTTATTTGTGTTAAAGCAAAATAAAGCACAAAGGGTGCTGCTGGTTACACCCTGCACACAGACACAGCAGGTTCACTTCCCAAATTCTGACAACTTCCTTACAACTTACACACACACACACACACACGCACTTTCCTGCTGCACAAGAGGCCACACAGGACCCTGAGGTCCCTTACCAGTGTTTAATCACCCTGTTCCCTTCAGAATCCTGTGTGAACAGTAACTCAGGGCACAGCTCCAGCTGCTGCCCCCAGGGCTGGCTCGAGGCAGCACAGCTGGCACTGTCCCCACGGGAAATGCCTCTGTCCCTGCAGCCATGAGCAATGACCCTGTTCCCCTCCGAGTCCTGGGAGAAGAGCTCCCTGCAGGGGCTGTCCCAGCCCACCCCAGCCCCTGCTGTGTTCTGGCCACGCTCTCTCAGGGGCTGAGCTCTCGCTGGGCTCTGTGGAGATGAACAAACCCCCCCAGGAGCCCAGGGCCTGGCTCCTGGCACGGGGTTTATATTCTCAGTCTCAGCAAAATCAGTTAAAGAATTAACACTACTCCTTTGCTGTGCTTTCTTACTCTGCTTTGCACCAAGCCCTGGTTGGAAATCGAGTCCAGCCTTCACCTCCTGGCCCTTCTGCTTGGTTACCCCCCAGCCTGATGTGACACTGCTGCTCCCTGAAACCGTTTCTCCAGCAAATAACCGGGATTTGTTCCTGGGAGTGATGATCCGGGGGCCCTCCGAGTCCTGGGTGGAGCTCAAGCACCAGGAGTCCCCTCCTGCCCCACAGGAGGCCTTGCCCTGGCTCTGGGACTCCACCTGTAGCTCCCAGGAGTCTGGCAAAGGTGCTTTCCCTGCCCGGCCCTGGGATGTGACCTGCACCCCCTCCTGGGATCCAAAGGGTTGATCCCAGGCTGCCTCCACCCGTGGCAAGGCCAAGATCTTCACAGGGCTGGCAGCCAGAAGGGGGACATCTGTGTCTTTGCTGTCTTTACTTGGGGTGAAAGGAGACGGCCTGGAGTTTTCTTTGTCTTTTCCATCTGAAAGCAACACAAAAATTGGTTAAAGCCAGAGCTGGCAGACACATTGCTCAGGATTAGTCACTACCCACGTTCCTCCACTCAGACCTGTCACTTTGCTCTCCTCCTTTGTGTATCCCTCAGGGTTGTCCCGGTGCTGCCACCACCTCCCAACAATCTATTTGTGCTGCAGAGGCTGAGCTGGAGCAGCACCCAAAGCTCTGGGGTGGTTCACATCAGTCAGAGTCCCTCCAGTGAGGTCAAGAGCTGCATCTTCAGCTCCTCCACCTTCCTCCCTCAGCTTTCCAAGCAGGTCACCTCTAACATCCCCTTTAAAAGCAGCAGCAGCTCAAGAGTCCCTTAAAAAAAAAACCACAAAACTGCCCAGTGAAACTCTGCCCTCGTGCCTGTGTGGTCTGATGGAGCCATCCAGTCACACATTTGCTTTTGAAACCACTGAACATAAAACCCAAAACAAATTCTCAACACAAACCAGCTCCCCCTCAGTTCAGGGTAAGCTGAAAGAATGAAATCCTCCAGCACCCTAAATCCTCCAAAACTCTGGATGAGCGTTCCAGACACGCCCAGGGAGTAGGTGAATTAAATCAATCGGGGGAATCAAATGGGGAAAAAAGAGGGAAGCACAAACCATGTTCAGGAGGAGTAGGAATGACGACCCCAAAGCAAAAACCATCAATGCCCCTGTCACAACACAGAAATTCTGTCAAACTCTGCAATTTCTGTAATGCCTCCTCTCATCTGCTTATTCCTAAACCAGTTTAACGCTGATGAACCAACTCTTACATAACTCACAACACACAAGCAGCTCCAGAGCCCTGCTCTGCTGCTTTCTGCATCTGTTCCATTGCTCTCCATAGCTGTTAACTCGAGACCCCTGGAAAATCCCATTTCTGGTTTTCCAGAGCACAAAAAAAAAAAAAAAAACCAGCCTCAAAAGCACAGAGGTTGTGAGCTGGCCTAATTAGCTTTAATACCTGCACTTGGATTAACCCTCACAATAAAACCCTTTCTGGGAGTTCAAACCTTTACTCTCCGCACTGGAAAATGCACCTTTCTGCCCAGCAAAGCTGCCAGGAGACACAGGGAGATGATGGGTTTGCTGTAACACCTGGAACTGCCTCCCCTCCTTACCTGCGTGGGAGCTGAAGAAGGTGAGGATGGTGGTTTGCTTGGTGTGGGTTTGGGGGGCTCTGCTCTGTGTGAACACCACTGAGGTGGGTTTCCTCTCCAGAATTCGGATGGGTGCTTTTAGCTTGGCTGTGAGAGGCTGGGGGGGGGGAAAGAAACAAGGCAGAGTAAATATATGAATATATATAAAAACAATTCCACCTTCTTCCGTAGCTCCCACCTCTGTTAAACAGCAACACAGAATCATTTGGGTTGGAAATCACAGAATTGTTGGGGTTGGAAGGGACCTCTGGAGACGTCCAGCCCAAGGCAGGGTCACCTGGAGCGGGTGACACAGGAACCAGGTGAGTCTGGAATGTCTGCAGAGAGGGAGACTCCCTGGGCAGCTGTTCCAATGCTCTGCCACCCACTTGGAAAGAAGTTCTTCCTCATGTTGAGGTGGAACTTGTCGTGTTTTGGTTCATGGCCTGTCACTGGGCACCACTGAGGAGAGTCTGGCACCATCCTCTACACCCCTTGGAGATATTTGTAGGGATTGATGGGTATTTGTATGGGTCGGTGAGATATTTGCAAGGATTGATGGATCCCCTCCCAGCCTTCCCTTCTCCAGACTGACCAGGCCCAGCTCCCGCAGTCTCACCACAGGGATGCTCCAGACCCCAAAGCGAATCTCAGGTGATGGAGTACCACTATTAAACGAAGTGAAACGCTTCAACTCTTCCACTCTCCGGGCTCACCCGAACCCTCACACCTCCCGAGCCATCCCCGGTGCCCCCCCCCCGGCTTCCCCACCCCCGGCTCTTACCGGCGCCGGTCTGCGCTTCAGCTCGGCCGTGTCCAGCCACACCCCGCACGCCTCGGCCTGGGCTGCGGGGCCCCGGCGCCGGCGCCTCATCCCGGTGGCTCCCAAATCCCGGTGGTTCCGAATTCCCGCCGGTTCCCGGTCCCGGTTCCCGCCCAACGGGCCCCGCGCGCGCCGCCGGCAGCGGATGGACCAATGGGAGCGGAGGGGCGTGGCCCCGAGTACAATCGGCCCCGCCCACCCCTATATAAGGCGGCGGAAGCGTCATGGCCCCTCACAGCAGCGGAGCGGGGCGGGGGGAGCGGATCCCTCACGGGCCGGGATCGACCCAGGGGTATCAGAGCGGGGCTGGCCGGTGCTCCTCGGCACGAAGGGCCTGGAAACTGCGGTGCTGCGCACGCCGGAGCGGAGCAGCACAACACACAGCGCGGGGCTGCCTTCCCCTGCCCTGCTGCCCCTCCTACCCCAGCCCCTCTCACCGTGTCTTTTACCCCTGCGATTGCCCCCTGTGTGCTGTTCAGGGGTGTTCCCCTGTTCCCGGGGCCTGATCCAGCCCTTGAGGTTCCCGTCCTGGCCCTGGGGCTCAGCCCCATCACATCAACCCTCTCCTCCCCCTGCACTTCCAGGGACAGGCTGTGCCCGTCCTGTTCCCACCACTGAGGGACATGGCCCTGCCACAGCACGGACAGCTCTGAAACGGCTCCCTAAGCTTAGAGGAGAGGCCTGAAATGACGCTGATTTAAGTTTGCCACCCTTCTTTGTGGTTTAAAGAGCCTCACCTGGGTCTGTTTCCATGGGTTAGGTTCTAATGGGGGCCACAGGGCAGCTCCTTACCTCGTGCTGTGAGACCTGGCAGCTTCCAGGAGCCTTCCCCAGCCCACCACTGTCTGGGCACAGGGCTGCAGCACCGAGACACTTTGTCCCAACTCTTTATTCAGAGGTGAATTGTGAATTAAACCCACGTACCATTCTTAAGAGCAAGCTGGAACTATTTCTGAATTAAAAAAAAAAAAAAGCAGCATAAAAAAAGCAGCTTTTACTTTCCCTCCCTATAGAAAGCACTTGCTGAGTAACAGTTCATGAAGCGTCTCATTTCTCTTCTCGAGGTTTGGGGCGGGATTCATCCAGCACGGGCTGAGCTCACCTCAGGGCTTTTACTCTTCCTTGAAGCCCAGCTTGTTCTTCACCTTCCGGGCCATGTAGGCAGCTGTGAGGACAGAGCAGGTCACAGTGAAGAGGCACAGGGCAGAGAAGTTGTGTGCCAGGTCCCCCTGGAGAGCGGAATAAATGTGCCGCCTGGACTCGTAGTCCAGCACCACGGCCTCGATCTGCGCCAGCGTGCAGAGCACCAGGCACACGTGGAAAATCTGATGGCTCTGCCCGAAGAAGTGGCACTTGCCGGGGAACCACTTCTCGGGGTAAGGGTGCGAGAAGAAAAAGGCACCGATGAGGAAAAACAGCACCTGGCACTTGTGGTACAGCAGGGCCGGGTCCGGGCGCGCCGAGGGCGGCGCGGTGAAGATGCGATGGACCACGGGGCTGATGTCCAGCAGGTAGGCCAGGCCCGAGGGCAGCTCCTGGCACAGCCGGCCCAGCAGCCGGGCGGACTGGTGGTAGCGGTACTTGGCGTAGCAGGAGCCAGCGCAGGACAGCCAGGCCAGGAGCACGGCCGCCGGCATGTAAAACCCCCGCACCCTCTCGTGCCAGCTCGGCTCGATGGCGTAGTAGTAGTGCCCCAGGGCGCTGCCGTACTGGTAAACAGCAACCCCCACGTAGTCCATGAAGAAGAAGCTGTAGTGCCAGAACTCGGACTTGGCCTGCAGGAGGTGGGCGAGGCTGCTGAAGGTCAGGTAGGTGATGGAGGCCGCGAGGATGATGAGGAGGGGCTGGGCGTGCAGGTCCTGCCCGAAGTCCACGCGCTGCGAGAGCCGCTGGAAGCGCAGCAGCAGGATCGGCGCCGCCACCAGGTGGGTCCAGACGTTGATGGCCTCGTTGTGCTGCTGGAAGAGGGTGGAGAAGTAGTAGCGCCAGGTCTGCTGGACGGGCCGGTAGCCGGTGTGGATGTAGGGCTTCCAGAAGATCTTGGGCACCTCGGAGCTGCTGACGGTGGAGGGAGAGAGGGGCCCCAGCAGCTGAGGGACCTGCCTCACGTTAATGAAGAGCCGGCTGAGCTTCTCGCTGACAAACGTTGCCATGGCGTGGCCCGACTGCGGGTTGCAAAATAAGCCTTGGGGTGGAAAGAAAGCTTTGCTGCAGGGTTTGAAAGTGGCTTCGGTGGTGCAGCTCAAATGCTTTGCCAGATTTGTTTGTTCGTTTGTTTTGTCTTGTTTTTCCGAAGATAGGTGTGGCCGGAGAACAGCCTGAAAATAAGAATCACCAACAGGGTTAGGAAGGAAGGAGGCTGAAGGGAGATTTAGGAAGCCCTGATGTGCCTCTGCTGCACAGGTAACAGAATGCCTGCAGGGGCAGAGAGTGGGGTTAACTGATACATCAGTTCCTGGCTCACCCCTTCCCCGCAGTTTGGGAAGAGCTAAACAAACCAAGCATCCTAAACAAACCTCCCACTCCAGATTTTCCCCCTCGTAAACTGTTTACAGCCCCTGTCCTTACAAATGACACAAAGCCACCTTCCCACCAGCATCGAGGTGACCCTGCTCTGCCTCCCAAGTGGGGGGGAGCACCTGAGAACTCCTGCATTTGGAGTTTCCCCTCCTTTTCTGAGCTCCCGATTTTCCAAGCAGCCCTCCACAGAAACAACGCAGCTCGAGTGAGTTCATCCTGTTGCATCACTGAGGTCCAGCAGTGCAATCTTCGCGAGCAAACGTTTCCATATTTACATTTTGGAACCTGCTGCCCTCACCCAGATAAAGGCAGCCCTTTCATAAAAGCTTCTCAAACAGAACTTGCCCAAAAGGAGATTCTCCCCCCTCCCATTTTACCTGCTCTTGCTCAGACAAGTCCTGAAGAAAACAGCCCAGCTCCCATCCAGCTCCAGTGCTGATTTATGCCTCAACCCCTGGCAAGTGCCGCTGTTTCAGGGACAGCTCAGACAGGAAAAGCTTTTCAAAGTTTGGGAACAGGAGGAGGTGGGGATGAGACTGTTTGTTTTAAAAATATTCGTAATTTCTTCATCAGAATGGCCTTGTAACCCATGCCTGCCTGAATCCAAGGGGCACAGACGCAGACAAAAGCAGGCTGTTTGCTGCTCAGCTTCCCTCCTGAGTGCTCTTATTCCCACCTTGCCTGGTTAAAGAGGCCCCACATCCCAAACAGCCCCCCTGGCTGGGGCAGCAGCTCACAGAGGGCAGTCCTGACCCCCGCCTGGCCTCCTAAACCCTCCTGCAATGCTGCGACACGCTCTGGCTGCCAGTGAAAAATTAACTTCACAAACCTCTTCTGGACTCGCAGCTCCTGCGCTGAGCTGAGACAGCCTCGGGTCCCACCACCACGGGGATGAGGGTGAAAGCAGAACTTCTCAAATTAAATTGTTTCAACCAAAACACAGTGGGCAGTTCGGAAGAAAACGCTGCCCAGAGAACTTGCCTCTGTGCCAGGGCTGCTGCTGCTCACAGGGATATTCAGGTAGAGGGGAAGGGGCTCAGCTCCTTTCGGCTTCCAGAAGAGAAATTCCTGTGGGAAAGGCACCCCTGGTTTGCTCAGGGAGATGCTGTGGCAAAAGAAGCAGAAGAGCAGCCAAGCACGAGGCAGGAAAGGGAGTGGTGTTTACCCCAGCTCCTCCAGAACTTGTCGGAGCAGGGCTGCATTTGCCAGGCTCTTCCCAGCTATCAACCCTTGAGCAACGCTCCGTTAGGAACGGAGCACATCTTGGAAATCTTTCACCTGCCTGGCACTCCAAATAACAGCCTCCACATCCCCACGAGCTGTCAATAACGCTGCCTCAAACGCCTGCTGCTTCCTCCGAAGCATTTCCTTTCTCCAGCAGCATCCACCCATCCTGCCGAATTTTTCTGTGATGATAGAGCCTCGGCCCGCGGCTGTTTACATCCCACACAGCGGGATCTACACTCCTAAGGCACAAATATCTTTCCCCCTTTTTTTTTTTTCAAGTTGGGATGGGGTTTTTTTTCTACCTCGGCTCACCGAGCCCCTGATACACCGGAGCCCCCCTCTCCCACCTCCCCCCGCAGAGCAGCTGCCAAAACCCGGGAGCCGAGGGATGGTTCTCCCTCCCCTGGGATTTCCCCCTCCCCGGAGCGGGGGGATGCTCCAGGGAGCGGGTGCACTTGAACACGAGGATTGGCAGCGCTCTGGGACCCTTCCCCTCCCGGTTTTCCCCCCTCCCCGGGACCCTCCATCCCCGCCCCGGCACCTGCAGGACGGACCCCTCCGGGTCAGGCTGAGCCTCCGCCGCCTCCGCCTCCCTCCCCCGGGCCCGCCCCGCTCCGGCCCCGCCGCTTCCTTCGCTTCCTTGGCCCCGGTGCCCGCGGCTCCTCCCGCCCGCATCGGAGGGCGAAAAGAGGGGGGTGGTGAACCGAGGGGTCCCATCCTTCCCCCTGCAACCCCTACGAGCTGCTCCGAACCTGCTCCCCCCCGCCC